ATCTACTTAGCACTTTTTATTTTTATGTTCATTTAAGCGTGGTCCCTCCAGCTCACCCCGAGCCGCACGCTGTCCACCCTTACAGTAATCCCACGGCCGCTGTAACAGCACATTACAGCATGTTTATGTGTACGGCTGCAGCTCTCCTGCTGCAGCCGTACACATCAACACCAAGAACAACAACACGAGCAGAAGCAGGAAAGACACGTCTCTTTGTGTTTGTTATTAGACTCAGGATGGTTCTGAATCTAACTTGAGATATTTGAAAATGATATCTAAGACCAACACTGCACGTTTGGAGACACACAGTGTTTATCTGTCGCAGGGTCGGTTTCACATGCTACTAGTGTGTGTGGGATTCTTTTGTAGTCTGGGCTGAAACCCATTAGTAGCTGTGTGATAATGGTTTGGTACCAATATTACATGAGACCCCCACAAATATATGACAGAAATATTCAAAAATGTGGCCGTATGCTCGTCCTCCTCTATCCTATCCCTTTTATTGGTTGAATATGCGCTGTAATGGCTTATTTGACGCCCTGTTTGCTGGAGTAGAGATTTTAGTGGTTCTTATTTTTGCTAAGTTTGCTTGTTTGTTTTTTATTGCAGTGACCGAGGATAAGCCAGCACCCACGGGACATCTCTGGTGGTGGAGTCCTCTTCCACACTGCTTTTGCTGCACAGCAACTTGGGTGTAAAAGTTTAGGGTATTTTTTTATTTTTTGTTTTTTTCCTTCTTTGGTACATAAATGTTGGGTCTGCGCTTGCAGGCCCCGCTGGTTGAAATGACACAACCCCCCATTGTAAAACCATAAAATGTGTCATAACAGTTAAAGCACTGTGTGCGAGCATGTGACATCCTGCTGATCACAAAGGGTCATCTCCTCTCACCCTTTATATGGCTCAACTTTAATGGTTCACCATATACAAGCACAGATGAGCTCCTAAATGGCCAGGAGGGATCATCCTTTAGCAGATAAGACAGCCAGAACCTTCAGATTGGAAGGTGCCTGCAGTTTAACACTATAGCCAATTGCTTCGATGTGTAGGGGAGGAACAGAAGAACATCTAAACATGCAGTTTAAGGCAAGGTTTACAAGTGTAAGTGTAACAGGGTCATAAATCACATTGTTATAA